TGAAGTTTCAGCTTGCCTTGGCATGGGAAATCCTTCATCAGTTTGAGATAGCTCAAGATAATCGTTCCCAATCTCCAGGAGAATTGTGGCTGAAGAATAGTCTGAAGAAGCACAGTCTTGCCCTTGCTTCCTTGAATAGAACTATTGATAGGTTGCGGTCACGTGTTGGCTGGCTCCGGGAGGGTGATGTCAACACCAAGCTCTTTCACCTGCATGCCCGTCATAGAAAGAGGAAGAATTTTATTGGTCGTCTCAGTTCTGGGGATCGCATCTGGACAAGCCACCAAGACAAAGCTGAAGTTATTGATAATTTCTATGAAAATCTGCTTGGAAGTTGCACAGACAGGTTGCAAACTGTCAATTTGGATGAGATCGGAATTGATACACATGACTTAGCTGATTTGGAGCTTCCCTTTAGTGAGGAAGAAGTATGGAAGACAATTATGCAACTGCCATCAGATAAAGCCCCTGGGCCGGATGGCTTTACGGGACAATTTTACAAATCCTGTTGGCCAATCATAAAGGAGGACATCATGGTGGCAATCTCAGCGCTTTGGAGCAGGAAATTTATGAATTTTGACACTCTCAATTCAGCCTACATCACTCTGCTCCCCAAGAAGGTTGGTGCAGATCAGCCCAAAGACTTCCGGCCCATCAGCTTGGTACACAGCTTTGCTAAACTTATCACCAAGTTATTGGCTAATCGGCTTGCTGGTCATCTTCAGCAAATGGTTTCGCCGAATCAAAGCGCGTTCATAAAGGGGCGCTTCATACAGGATAATTTTATGTTGGTGCAACAAACAGCTAGATATCTTCATCAATAAAAACAGCCCCGCATACTCCTTAAATTGGATATTTCTAAGGCTTTTGATTCGGTTTCTTGGCCCTTCCTCTTGGAGGTCTTGCAACACTTGGGTTTCAGGCAAATCTGGAGAGATATAATTTGTGGGCTGCTATCTTCCTCGACCACCCAAGTTCTCTTGAACGGAGTCCCCGGGGAATGTATTTCCCATCGACGAGGTCTACGGCAAGGTGACCCCCTCTCTCCCATGCTATTTATCTTGGTCATGGATGTTTTGGGACACTTAGCCCAAGCTGCAAGCGAGGGTCTTTTACAGCCTCTCTCAGCAAGAAATCTGCAGCACCGAATCTCTCTGTACGCGGATGATGTGGTGCTCTTCCTCCGACCAGATGTTAGTGACATTTCTGTGACAATGGATATCCTCAGAATTTTTGGTGAAGCTTCGTGTCTGAATACAAACCTTCAAAAGAGCAGTGTACTGCCTATTAGGTGTGGTGACTTGGATTTGGCAGTTATTCAGAACCTGCTGCCTTGTGCCCTTGCTGAGTTCCCATGCAAATATTTAGGTTTGCCTCTCTCCTTGAAAAAACTAAATAAGAGTCAAGTGCAGCCCATTGTTGACCGCATTGCTGATCAACTGCCGGGCTGGAAGGCGGAGTTGATGACACGGGCAGGAAGGAAGATTCAGGTTCAATTTGTGCTCACTGGTATGCTTATATACATTGTCATGGCGACTGACCTCCCAGCTTGGGCTATCAAAGCAATTGACAATTGACAAAATAAGGCGTGGCTTTTTTTGGCGTGGTCGCAAGGAAGCGAGGGGGGGACATTGTCTTGTAGCATGGGTAAAGGTTTGCCGGCCAACTGAGCTCGGTGGACTAGGAATTTCAGATTTAAAAACCCTCAGCTGGGCATTGAGAATGAGATGGTTGTGGCTGCAGAAAACAGAGCCAAACCGCCCCTGGGCTCATCTCCCAATTCATGCCCCTGATCAGGTGAAAGCCTTCTTTGCGGTGGCTATTATTTCTGAAGTTGGTGATGGCGAGCATACCCTTTTTTGGGCTGACAGGTGGCTGCATGGTCAGTGTATTGCAGAGCTGACTCCTCGAGTTTTTGCTGTCATCTCTAAGAGACGGATCAAGCAGCGTACAGTCAAGGAAGCTCTCAATAACCGGGCATGGATCACAGACATACAGGGGGCTACAACTGTTGGAGTAATGGCTGATGTTCTCCAATTATGGGATATCCTTTCAGACTTTGTTCTAGAGCCAGAAAGGGAGGATAAACATATTTGGAGGTTTTCTTCGAATGGCCAATATTCAGCCAAGGCGGCATATGAGGGTTTTTTCTTAGGTGCTACTCTCTTTGCACCATGGGAAAGGATTTGGAAGACTTGGGCGCCACCAAAATGTCGTTTCTTCATGTGGTTAGTGGCACACAATAAGTGTTGGATGTCTGACCGCCTTGCACGTCGTGGAATGCCTTGCCCAGAATGCTGTCCACTTTGTGATCAAGAGGAGGAAACAATCAACCATCTCCTGGTTGAATGTGTCTTCGCTAGGGAGTTTTGGTTTAATTTGCTGCAGCAGGCCGGTCTCCAGGCCTTGTCCCCACAACCTACTGAAAACTCCTTTCTTGATTGGTGGGAGAGAGCTAGTAATGCTACTAATAATATGGTTAGGCAAGGGGTTAATTCCCTAATCATTCTGGGGGCCTGGATTCTTTGGAACCATCGTAATCGTTGTGTTTTTTATGGAGCGGCTCCTAGTGTTGCTTAGGCTTTAGTAGTGGCTGGGGAGGAGCGCCGGTTGTGGACCACGGCAGGAGCTCGTGGCCTTTCCCTCTTGTCAGCCCATCTCCAAGGAGATTAGTGCTTTGGGCCTGTGTGGGTTGTTTTGCAGCCAGCTTAGGTGTATATGTGTTTTGGCTGCTGTAGCATGTGTTGTGTGAGTGAGTTGTGTTTGGGTGTCTTGTAAGTGTTGGGTTCTTATACCCTCTTTCTTCTTAATACAATGAGACACAGATCTCCTGCGTTTTTCGAGAAGAAAAATAAAAATATTATTTACTGTTGGAAACATCTCCATGTTATGTATAATGTCATTTTGTTCAATTTCTCAAATCCTTAGGATAAAAGTAAAACTGCGAAAGCAGTTCAGCCTGCCAAGAGAGCTGCTTCTGAAATGAAAGATGAATCAGGTGATTCATCAGGCAGTGATGGTAGTGATGAAGGGCCTGAGCCTCCCCAAAAGAAGCAGAAGGTGCCACAGATGCTTGAAATCTCTTTTTTCCTTTGCATATTTCGATTATTCTGTAACCAAAGTTCCATTGTTCATTTAGTCTTTCATTTGTTCAAGTGCCACTACATCCACAAGCAGTCGTATCCCGTTTGCGAAGGTATCAAAGGAGGTGAAGGTCATATCTGGCACCTCCCTGACCAAGGACCATTTTGGATTGGACGAAGCTGAGTCTTCTGCTTTTGAGCGGATTTCGAATGCTTTTGTTCTTCCCGATATTGAGAAGGAGCTCACTCAATCTAATCCTGTAGAGACTTCTGACCTTCTGGTGGCCTCATGCCTCAAGGTTTGAGTTTCATCTTTTTATATGTATATATGACCCTTCTTACGCTTTTCCTTTACTTCATCTATCACTGACATCATTTATATTATGCAGTCTGTTTTGCTGGCGCGGGCTCTCAAAGCTCAAGCCCTCAATCAAGCGGAGTCTGTGGCCCGACAAACTCAAGAGATTTCAGCAATGAAAGTCGAGGCCGGTAAGGTTGAGAAGCTTGAAGATGAGGTGTCTTCGCTCAAAGAGAGGTTAAATCTCGCTGAGGAGAAGAATACGTTGCTTGAGGCTAAGCACAAGGAGCTGCAAAAGGCTATTTCTGCGAAGAGTCGCGAGTGCAAGGAGCTTGAGATTGATGCCGGCAACCTTTGCGAGATGGTGAAGCTTGCTGAAGTTGGCGCTGACGTTACAGCGGCATACTCCCAGTCCCAGATGGGTGGCTGTTCCCTTCCTTGGGACGATGAACATGCTGGTGTCGCGGATTCGCTAATGTGGCTGAAGGAGCAGACCGCGAGCTTCGTCGATGCACTGAAGCCGTTTGCAGATTTATGTGCTATTGTCGGAGTTAGAGCTGTCCAGAGAGCGACGGCTATGATCATCTTGGTACCTTGTGCTCTCCGAGCTTCGAGTATCCGCCCGATGTCCCGCCCAAGGACGTGAGCAAGGTTGTCCATCAGGCTGGCAAAGCCTTTATTTCGAAGTATTGGAACACTCATGGGTTAGAGGTGATCGAAGAGAGGGATCGTCTCCAACAGGTATAATTTTTTGTTTGTTGTGATATTTGATGTTGATGTTTGAGCTAATATTTCGCTATGTATTTTCAGATGGGTTATTCGTCGCAACCTTCTAGGCGACCTTCGCAATTTGAAGTTGGTTCTTTATCTGCTGACCCGAAGAGCACCGCCAGCGCTCCAGCCGAAAATTTGTTACGATATATGGCTTCATCACTAATAGTCAACACCCAAGGTCCATCACCAATGATCCATGACGAAACATACATTGTCATAGTTATGTGCTGTTCTGTGACAAGATTTTGCTTCGTCACTAAAATTCATCATAGTTGTGCACATTTCTACTAGTGGACATGTGGTTCAAGTAGCATGTAGATTGATGGTGTGGCACTTGGGAGTCTCACGGTTAGTGGCATCTTGAGAGGTGACTCTAGAAAGGAAAAAAAAAAGCACAAGCTACATGGACTCTAAACAAGACTTGCCCCAAAAATGTAGAGTCTAACTCGGCTACTGTAGGGGCCCACGGTCAGTGGCGTCAGGAGAGGTGAGGCTAGAAAGAAAAACACATGCAACTTGGACTCTAAACAAGACTTGCCTAAATCAGTAACCCCTGATCATCGATCTAAGTAATGTATCAAAAAGACAACTTTTGGCCTCTCTTTGAAGTGCCCGGTCAACCTTCAATATATAAACTTACTTAAACCATATTAAAACCTATATTTATTCCTTATGCATTCCTATGTGTTATAGTTGGATCCTCCAATTTGTAATAGTAAAATAACATAATGTAGATTAACATAATATATGCACCATAGTCAATATTTTATTTCTGGTGAGCCACACACGATGGTATGTGACCTTATTATTGGAATACAATGCACCACATGGATATATCAATCTATCTAGAATGCACAACAAAGAAAGGGCTTTTGGCCATAGGCCACTAGAGGTGGCATGACTGTAGTGCTACACATGGAAGGCCGTTGTACCGCCATTCGCATCTGTTGCAATTGCATCATCTGGCAAATAGTGCCACAGTGGCACGATGGTGACATCACACCCTGCATCATTATTGGTTGCATGCAGCACTGTTGTTTCACCGTGGAGAATGGTTGTTGCTGCATCACCATTGTTGGCAATGATGAGCCTCCTATGGAGAATGCCTGTTGCATCATGCAAGATTGCATGCAAGAGACCATGGAATTCATTCTCATCATCCAGGAGGGTGAACTTATCACCACGGCTAATGGTTGTTGCATCATGCATGAATGCATGCATGGATCCATCGCTGTCATTCCCATCATTACCATGGCTAATGGTTGTTGCATCATGCATGACTGCATGCATGGATCCATCATTGTCATTCCCATCACATGTGGGTTGTTTTGTAGGCAGGTGGCTGTGGCAGTAGCAATCGTAGAGAGAGCAAGGAGTGCAACCAGGGCAAGCATTGTGGTTATTTGTGATGCCATGGTATTTGATTATACTATCCTGCAGATAGTGAGATCTAACTGTTGTTTAGATGAAGGTGATGGACAAGAGTTGATTATTAGGGTCGTATTTATAGCAACCTATACTATGAAGGAATTTTGGCCTGTGCTAAACTGGAAGTTGATTCCAGATAAGGTGTATCATGATGTGGAATTTTGCTGATTTGGACATCAGTTCTTTCCTTGAAAAGTTGGCCAGGGTGACATGATGAGCTTGCATGATGTGGCCAATGCCACATCAGACCTAGTCACCTCTTTTTAAAAGTAGGCTTGCATTGTATTGTGGAAGGCTGAGGTGGACTAACAACTTTCTCCAACCGAATTTGTCTAAGACCTTAATATACCTTGTGTTATATGTGCTATTCATAGATACACATAAATTTTCAATGCTTGGATTTTTCCTTGACATGTCAGTTGGATGTTAACTTGGATAACTTGACACGTCACCATGTTTCGAATTTTTATACTACAAATACACTTTAATATAACTTGTACGATTTATGTGTTGAGTTCTGTTTGATTTCTGACAAAAAATTAACATAAAAAACCATTGCTTGCCTTAATGATCATTTATCCTGTTTAAACATGGTGGTATGTCATGTCCATTTATGTCCGTATTATACCGTTTAAGTAGTGTCTGCTTAGCCTGTTTAAATGTCTGTTTAGATCAACAGTTCAGAATGAAAAGAAATTTACATGCATACACATACAGTTAGCCCTTAGGCTATTTGAGAACATTGTCCCGGATGGATTGCTCACTGGATATTGGAAACATGACACCCTCTCATAAATACTTATGCAGAACTGGTCACTCTTTTGTAGGATCAGTAGAAACACAGAGTAGGGCAGTGATCCAGTATAGTTCTTGGACCAGGTCATACATAAAAATAAACAATCGAAACCAGTCTCACCCGCATCAATTCACTAATACAATATGTGAAGTGCTATCCACAAAATCTGAGTGAAATATTAGTTATCAATTGACTCATGCCGTAGCTGCCTCTCTAACCATTATTCACACGAATGATCTATATAAATTGGATAGTTAAATGCAAGACCTAATACTCAAGGACACCTCTTCAAGGTCCTTGAATATTATGAACATCTTATGGTCATGTGAGACTAAAAATTAGTAAAAGGCATTTAGCAGCAAAAAGATACTTTCACAGTGGAAATTTGGGGCAAAGCTGTCTATGAAATTTCCAAGGGAACGTCAACTTAAAAAAATATGGCATGCAAGAAACATGCCATGGGTCGGGCACTACTACAAAAACGATTTGTAACAACGCCTCCTCTTTTTAAAAGGAGCAGCTCTATATTGGGCCACCCTTATAAATGGATCCCAAACGAGCCGCCCCTACAAATCCATTTATAGGGGCGACTGATGTTATTAGCCGCTCCTACAAATGGCCCCTATTTGTAGGGTGGCTCTATATACAGCCGCTCTTACAAATGCGATTTGTAAAGGCGGCTGGATATAGAGCCGCCCCTACAAATAGACGCTGATTAGTAAAAAGTTAAGTACTAACATTCGAATCTGTTCAAACGACCTTGGATGGAGAAATGACTATAATAAAAGTTGTAGATCTTGAAAAGTTATAGAACTTTGTTGTTTATAACTTTTTCATTTAAAATCATTTACTATTTCAAAAGGATGTTGGAAATTAAAATTTTAAATTATTGAAGAACGCTGATTTCTCTTTTTAATCTCTGGCTAAAACTTGTAACTAGTCTTTTTTCCTCATACTAACTTCAAATTTGATTATTTTTTTCTAAAATTTTCTAAAATTATGCTCTTTCAATTTATTGTGTTGTTACCGCTATTATTTTAGTCATTTTTTCATGTGACTTTATTTTATCAATTCAAAATTGGGCCTTTATTTTTCATTTTGAGTCCTGTTTTCGGGACTGAACCTAAAAGGGCTCTTACTTCTCAATTCCCTCCATTTTCTTACGCACTATATCCATATGTATTTGAGAATACCACATACACTATACAATAATTTATTTAAATTGTAACTCTAAAGCATCATACTTAAAATATGATAAAAATACGAATACTCAAATTTAAATTCAAACATAAATTTGGAAACAACAGCATGCATCACCTCCTCAAATAAGCGTTGAAACTTCTGGCACTATGTGAATTGTCGCCCACCTATGCTCTAGAGAATTTGCAATCCTATCATATGCAAAATAATGTTATCCTAGATTTGGATACAACAGCACACATCACAACTTAATTAATTGCTACTGCATGCGGACGTGGCCAGGGCGGGGCCTCGGAGCACGCTCGCGCCCAGCAGGCGGAGCTCGAGGCGCGCAGATGGCAGGGAGCGCGGCGCATGGCTGAGGGCAACAATGAAGGAGGATGAAAGAGCGAGGAAGGAGAGGAGACGCGAAAAAAATTAGAACAAAGGGGTATGCTTGTGTAACCGGTGGCAGTGGTGAGTAATTTCCCCTAATTCGAGTTTGGTGGAGTACTTCTCCAGGAGATCCACCATTTTGGTGAATCTGGCCCTCAGATCCACGTTTTGGTGGATCTAAATTTGGTAGAGTTAGATTGTTTAGCAAACTTTTTATGGAGTGGAGCTATTTTTAGTGAATCTGGAGTTGAGAGAGCTATCCCAAACAGGCCCTTAGGTGCTCTAGTAGGAACCCTGCTGAAGCTGCGTTTTTTCCCTGAGCAGCCATATTTAGCTATAAGAGCTTAAATAGGAGCTCTACTAGAGTCACTCTAATAGGTATAAATGAAGTAATGAAAGCATATTGCTACTACTTTACTAACCAGGTGTTAAACCCTGGACCAAATAAGGTCTTGTTTGGATGTAGTCGAATTCGCATCAATACTTACTTTCTAGAGTGGATTGAAGTGGAATTTGAACTAATTTACACCGTAATTTACCCCAACACATGTGGATCGTTGGGAATCCGACAACATCCAAGCAAGACCTAAAAAGAATCAGCATCAACAGTAGCTGTGAAAGATCCTTCTCAGCAAAGTAACTACGATGACGAGCTCATGTCCATACTACAAAAAGACTCCTCAACGCTGCCAAAAACATCGCTGTTCTTGACATCGTCCCATCTCAGCACCTCCCTGATGTACCTGAATGCATTGTCAACAGTTTTCCGCTCTAGGGCTTTCGTCTGGAACACAAAGAGCTTCCGATAACTGATGGATGAGTACAGGTCCTTGAATTTCAGGGCAATGTAGTTGTAGGCGTGACTGGCAAGTGACTGATGGGTGTGGTGTGGCTTCACTGGGCTGAAGTCAGTGAACCAGTCACATACCGTTAGGGGTACACGGTTGATTTTCACCTCGAATGCATCATACTTGTTCAGTAGAAGCACGCAGGGGGTGCCCTCAAAGGAAGGGTAGCTGATCACGTCCTTGAACAGGTTTCTACTGGCTATCATCTTGTTGCAGAGCTCTCCTGAGCTCTGCACCCACATCTGATCATAGTCAGCCAGCGAGATGCAGAAAACGATGGCTCGTCCCTCTAGCATTTCCAAACACCTCAAGCCCGTCCTTTAGAACTGATGTGGATTAAATGATATCTGCCAAGGTACAGAGCGGACAAGTCACTGTAAGCACTAAAGAAAAGGTTGCAGATGCTAACAATAAAATTGTTGAAACCTAGGTCCAGTGACCGGACAAGACAAGCAGGATGTCTGAAACAACATACAGCATTGTCAAACCATCAGCTTACTTTGTTTGCATGGATGGATCATCAGGTTTGCCTACGTAAGAGTCAGGGAACGGATATTGGTCATCAAGTGAGAATTCAAGCAAAGAGAGGCCATTCCATTGGTTGATACCCTCTGCATACAGAATATCTAACTCTGTTGGTTCATATTCATTACTTGATATTTCAACCACCCGCAAACATGTGAAAAGTTCCCGTCAAGGGCGTACCCAGTGCAGAGAGCTCCCGCTCTATGCGGGGTCTAGGGAAGGGTGTCAGTGGCAAGCCTTACCCTCGCCTGTGCAATGCGAGGAGACCGCGACTCGAACCCGGGACCTTCCGGTCACAGACGGTAAGACTCTACCGCTTGCACCAGGCCTGCCCTTCTGAAAAAAGTTCCCGTCAGAGCAATTAAAAAAAAATATTGCTGATGTAATTACGCAACAAAATTTGCTTTTGGTGAACCTGGAGTGGAACAGCCCTACAATGTTCTTTTTTTAAGCAAAGTAGAAAAAATCTTTAAAAAGTTACGAAAAATGAGAAGGTGAATATCACTCTTATCATGACTACTCAAGTGTCAGTCTTACCCTATCCAGAAAATAGCTGGCAACATCTGGAAGAAATTGTAACTCGTTATTCCATTTATATGTTGCTTGAATAGCAGGATCTTTCCAAACTTCTTGAACAATTGGTGCATATTCTCGGGTTGCAGCAAGAAAAAAGGCATCCAGATCACCCAGTGGAACTATCTCCAACAGCCAGTCCGCGAACTGCATCAGTCTTTCATTAAGCACATATAAAGATGATTTGATCTGAGTTAAGTCTAGTTCACCTGAAGGGCGGGCCTGGTGCAAGCGGTAGAGTCTTACCGCCTGTGACCGGAAGGCCCCGGGTTCGAGTCGCGGTCTCCTCGCGTTGCACAGGCGAGGGTAAGGCTTGCCACTAACACCCTTTCCCAGACCCCGCACAAAGCGGGAGCTCTGGGTACGCCCTTTTTTTTAGTTCTGGTTCACCTGTTAGCATCCACATTCTGTAATTTTTTTTCCACAAACATACCAAGCAGAGTGGCTATCCAGGAATAGAAGAGTACAATAAACATGTAATGGTCTTTCTCAAAATTTCACAGCTAGTTCATTTTAAGTCTTAAAAGTATGAAATTGGTACCAGAATTTTTCTAAAAATATGATCTAGATATTGTATCTCTATTTAGAGTAATGTGGATCTTATTTCTTCCTTTTTCCAGTGTTTTATTGCTTGTTGCCATGCCCGTTATTGATTTAAGTTATCGCTTTGTGCTATATTAAACAATGAGATCAAGACCAAAGGATCCAACAGACACCGAGTCAAATTGAGAAGTTCAGTGAGGACGTGACTGGGGACCTGATTGTTAAGTGCCCTGTATCTGGTCTCGAAGAGATTTGGCCATCTTGGAGGCTCGGCGGCGGGTATCTGACACGGTCAGAGAGCCGACTAATGAGGAGCTCAGATCTATTACTTCACATCTTGGTGATAAACCTAGGCTAAATCCTGATGTTCTACCTTTGCGAAAAACAAGCTTCGAGTGTTGATTTTTTACCAAGAGCGTTGAACATCCGATTCGTAGTTCAAGGTTGAAAATTGAACTATCGTGCAAGTTGGAGGTTAGAAAATGGACTATACCCTTTAATTAAATAGTGATCACAACTGCAAGCAATAAAACACTAGCAATAGGATTCATATAACTCTAAATAGAGCACCGATAGATAGACTATATTTTTCAAAAAAAAATGATATTGGTTTCATTTCTTTCCAATTTAAAATGAATTTTTATAGATTAAATTAGTTTTTATTACTTTCATAAAATACGAAAAAACAAAAAAAACTTTTATAAAATACATATATTAGCAAAAACACCTTTCAAACAACCTAGAGGGACAAATTTGTTCGATTTCCACCATTCGCTGGTCAAACATATCTGGTCTTGAGTTTGATGGCCAAAATCATAATTCAATGGTCAAGAATGGACTTCTTCCTATAAATAAATATTGATGTAATAAAATGGAGAATCCAACAGATTCCTTGGAGCAAATAGACAGGATTAGACTTTAGAATGACTCAATGGAATGCCCTGAAATGTTTGTGTAACTTTCTGTTTTTACCATGTTCACTTTACGGATTTGTCCCTTGAGCCCAGTTCGTAGTCAATACATGATTTAAGGAAAAAACACAAGAACTAAATATTTTTCTCCTTTTTGGTAAAAGATGTCAACAAGTAGCAAAGCTTTGTTGCTCTCACCAGAATCTTTATCACTCATGCAAAACTCTCTGTCTTCTTTGAAAGTCTTCTTTGAAAGCTTCATCCTCGAAGCATTCTCGCCATTCAAGCAGTGTGCTGAGATATTTGTAAACATTAATTTGTATCATGAGCTTCAAATCAAGCATTTCTTCTGCAGAGAACTTTTTCCCATGCAAAAACTTTGCCTGCATTGGCAAAAAAAAAATCATATACAGTCGCATAAATAGAATTTGTCCATTCCTAGTAATAACAAAATAAACCACAATCCCATAAGCTCTGAACATCCTAATTATATTTAGAACATGTTGACCATTATCCATTGAAAATTTGGAAGTGAATTCGACAGCATGCAGTATTAATTTTTCAAGTCCAAACAATGCACCAGCTTGTTTTGTGAACAGTTCTAGTATTCTAAAGGCAATCTCTAGTGGCACATGCAAAGCGAACCATCGTCCTAGCTGGCTCATGCATGCATCGATTCATCTACCTGGAGAAAGTGAATCCATGGGAATCTTTTGATGAATTGAGACAAAATCTTGCATTGACTCATGGTGAGAAAAATAATCCAGATAGCCATATGTAAGAACCTAATAGAGACATCGTATGAGAGGGAGGGATGGTCGCTTCACTTTTCAGTTCTCCCTTTAGTGGGTCCCATTTGACTCATGAAACCAAACTTCAATAAACACAAAATAATTTAGGTACATGACCCAGCACTGTATGTGTTAGATAAAAACGACTCCAGTAGTGCGGATACTCTAATGGGCATCATGGTACTAAATCTGTGGTGCTGTACCCCTTACTGTTACCATCTCATTTTAAAACTTTCACCTGTACATGTAAACTCGCCCTGTTTGCTTGAACTGCTTATCAGACATGGTAGAGTATTTTTCTCTCATAAAAAATCAGCATCAGCCGGCTTATCAGCCTCAGAAACCACACAGCTCCTAAACTATTATGTACTCCCTACATCCCAATTATAAGTCATTCCAACTTTCTTGGAGATTCAAAGCATCCAAGTTTGACCAAATTTATATAATAAACTAATAAAGTTACGATACTAAAAAAGTATCATTAGATTCTTCATTAATTATATTTTTATAGTATATCTATTTATGTCATAAATCTTTGTAGTTTTCTCTATAATTTTGGTCAAACTTGAGATGCTTTGACTCTCCAAAAAAGTTGGAAAGAAATACAGTTCGCTGCATGTGCATTGCGGTAAACAGAATTTCAAAAATTCAACCAGTGGGGAAAGACCGCCCCTAGCTCCCCACAGCTTTGTACTAAGAAGAAACCTCTGCAAAACCAGCCGAGAAAACACCTGAACCCTGACTTCACCCTAACTGGCCACACAGTAACCTAGGCCAGCAACCACCGTGACTACCCAAGGTAGGACTGCACCGTTACCGCAGGCAAGGGGAGAGCACTTGACGCATTTAGTAGTCATTCGGCTGGGGTGGCTCCTGTTGTGGCAAAAAGAATTTTATTTGACTTTAGTGTTTAAACACGGAAGGTGACCATGTCTGCATGTGAACATAAATTATAAATGCGCAAACTTTATCGCGGGACAGGTCACGTGTTTGCTAGCACTTCCACGCGCCGCCACCCGCCGATAGAGAAGAAGGTTTAGGGCCTTAGGGGTTAGGGTTCCTCCACTTGCTGGTGGCTCTAGAAGGGGGCTTGTGTGGAGGGGCTGGGGGGGAGGGGGGCCAGAGTCACAGGCGATGGGCAGGGCTTGTGGCACAAGTGGTTGCTGGTGGCCCTATGATTAGGGGAGGGCAGGGTCGAGGCGGCGGCGGTAGGCGGGAGGACAGTAAGGCAGCAGGAGCCGTTGGCCACCGGTGATGGAAATGCAAGGACAGGGGGCAGCTGGAGTGTTGTGCAAGGAAGGAGGAGGGATGCACCAGGGCGGTGGGGTGCTGAGGAAGAAGAGGTCGACAGGGGCGGCGGAAGCACCGGCGAGGGTGGCGACGGGGGCGTCTGTGGCAAGGGTCCCATGCTCCTATAACACGGAACTGGTCGTGCCTTAACCCTCCCCTATAGATGTGTATGGTCGCAAGGATAGTGTGGTACACTATTTTCGGAAATTTGGACTAGAAGCTCTATCTCTATAACCAGACATTGTTTACTTCTCCAGCTGGTGGAACGGGACAATCAAGAGATAGTAGATGACCCATGACCCTATGATGTATGGCCACTAGCTGGGGCTTCTGGCAGACCCTGTTCTAGGGTTGGTGTTTTTGTTGTTTAGTCGTGTCCATTATTCAAGCATGGCAGGTGTGTTTGGATCTTGGGTGTATTGTGTTAGTGGCATTGTACATTTTATTACTCTCTCTTCCTAATGAAATGAAATGCAGCACTCTTGCATTGTTCAAGAAAAAAAATAAGCAACACCCCAACCTGCAGTTATCTGAACAAAAAACTATTTTCCTTGGTCCATGAAATAAGATAAAACAGTATGCAAAGACTGCAATGATTTAAATACAGGAATCTTCATTATCTGAATATGAGCAAGTAGAACAAAAACCTGCTTAAAGATTGTACTTGATCCAGAGCCTTCTAGTCTGAACTCTTTTCTGATCCAGGTAATCTGGAACAAACCTACTGGAGTCCAATGTAGCATCCCCTTCAAAACCATTAGAATATCCAGGAGGGATTGGTAGCGAAAAAAGGTTAGCAATAAGACGTGTTGATGCCTGGCTAACCAAAAAATAGAAGTAACATAGTTACTCAGTTGATTTACGTACAAACTTTCAAGCATTTTATGAAAAAATGCATTACCTTTTGCCAAATATTTCCTTTTATAATGTTTTGTCCCTCCTCCTCGTAGGAACCATATCATATAACAAGAAATGAGTATTTCGTGGGCACTGTACACTGGCCAGCTGAATGAAAAGCCAGTAAAAGTCTGATCAAGATTGTACAGGTCATGAATGATCCCCTAAAAAATTTTAGGTTCTTAGATTCAAAATTGGAGAAGGAATCAATCCACTAAAGAAAACATACTAACGGGGGATAATCTAATATGGAAACCCATCTAAAAGAAATTGCAACCTGTTGTCTTGTACCCATATTGCGGCACCAGTGCCACTATGAACCCTTATATAATTGCCCTGCTGCCCCACTAAGTTAACAGCAGTAAATATAAATATCTTAATATCTCAATCAATACACAGTTTTTTGCTACTTGCTAGGCTTTTGCAGAAAACATCAGGATTTGAGATAGCAATACATAACCCCTTTTCTACTTATGGCACTCTTTATAGAACATATCATGTTTTCTAATGGTACCCAAAATATATGTTCAAAGTATTCCATATAATATCCTGAACCTTTTTGGAAAGAAATAAGAAAACACAAAACACAAATTCTACCCACACATAGGATTACCATATGACAACAAATGTAAAAGAATATCACAAAGAAAATCCATCTTACTAGGGTCACTAATGTAACTATTACACTTGTATAGTCTTGTGTTGTACATGTGTCATATAC